CTTCGCATCTTGATGTAGCAGCAATATAAAATAAAGGTAATAATACAAACATAGTTAGTTTGTATATTTATCACTTTAGAATTTCTCATTAATTAAAAGAATATTAAAAATATGGTAAATATTAGACCGGATGAAATAAGTAGTATTATTCGTCAACAAATTGAAAAATATGATCAAGATGTCGAAGTAGCTAATATTGGTACTGTACTACAGGTTGGTGATGGTATTGCTCGTGTCTATGGACTAGACGAAGTTATGGCTGGGGAATTATTAGAGTTTGAAGATAAAACAATTGGGGTTGCTTTAAACTTAGAAAGTGATAATGTCGGAGTCGTTTTAATGGGAGATGGTAGAGACATCTTAGAAGGAAGCTCTGTAAAGGGTACTGGTAAAATCGCTCAAATTCCTGTTGGAGATGCTTTTCTTGGACGTGTAGTTGATCCTTTAGCTCGTCCAATTGATGATAAAGGTGAACCAGCAAGTAATGGAACACGACTTATTGAGTCTATGGCTCCAGGTATTATTGGTCGTCAATCTGTTTGTGAACCTATGCAAACAGGAATTACTGCTATTGACTCCATGATTCCAATTGGTAGAGGCCAACGAGAACTAATTATTGGTGATCGTCAAACAGGTAAAACAGCCGTTGCATTAGATACAATTATTAATCAAAAAGGTCAAGATGTTGTATGTGTATATGTAGCAATTGGACAAAAAGCATCCTCTGTTGCTCAGGTAGTTTCCTCACTACAAGAAAAAGGTGCTCTTGATTATACAATAATAGTTGCAGCCAATGCAGATAGTCCTGCAACCCTTCAATATATTGCTCCTTATACAGGTGCAGCATTAGCTGAGTATTTTATGTACAAAGGCAAAGCAACATTGGTTATATATGATGATCTAACTAAGCAAGCACAAGCTTATCGTCAGATGTCACTCTTATTAAGAAGACCACCAGGGCGTGAAGCATATCCTGGAGATGTATTCTACTTGCATTCTAGATTATTAGAACGTGCAGCCAAGTTAAATGCTGAATTAGGAGGTGGTAGTATGACTGCTCTTCCAATTATTGAAACTCAGGCTGGTGATGTATCTGCATACATTCCAACGAATGTAATTTCGATTACCGATGGTCAAATTTTCTTGTCAGGAGATCTATTTAATTCTGGGGTTAGACCTGCGATTAATGTTGGTATTTCTGTTTCAAGAGTCGGTTCAGCTGCTCAGATAAAAGCAATGAAACAAGTCGCTGGTAAATTGAAATTAGAACTAGCTCAATTTGCAGAGCTAGAAGCGTTTTCACAGTTTGCATCTGACTTAGATAAAGCAACTCAAAACCAGTTGGCCAGAGGTCAACGTCTTAGAGAAATTTTAAAACAGGCTCAAAACTCACCTATTCCCGTTGAAGAACAAACAGCTATTATCTATACTGGTATTAATGGATATTTAGATGACATTGATGTAAATAAAGTTCCTGATTTTATTATAGAACTAAGAGAAGACTTGAAAAATTCTAAGCCAGACTTTGGAAAAAGTATTCGTACTACTAAAAAATTAGACAGTAGAAGTGAAGAACTATTAAAAAAAGCAATTGAAGATGTTAAACAAGGTTTTGCTAAAGCTTAACTAGCAATCGGCAATATCTTTAGAGAATAATGAGGCTAAAGAAAAATCTTTAGCCTCATTATTCTTTTTAAAAGATTAAGTTCCTTTAATCCAATCATATCCATGCTTTTCTAAATCTTGTGCAAGACTAACATTTCCTGTTTTTACAATCTTACCATCACTCATAATATGCACAAAATCTGGGATAATATAATCAAGGAGTCTTTGATAATGAGTTATTAAAACAATTGAATTAGTCGGAGTCGCTAATGTATTAATTCCTTGAGCAATTATCCTAAGGGCATCAATATCGAGGCCTGAATCTGTTTCGTCTAATATAGATAGATTGCTATCTAGGAGTGCCATTTGAAGAATTTCATTCCGTTTTTTTTCCCCACCAGAGAAGCCTTCATTAACATTTCTAGTTAAAAAACTTTCTTTCATTCCTACAAGATCAATCTTCTCTGTTATTAATTGAAAAAACTCCAAAGGGCTTAATTCTGGTAATTTCTTAAATTTCCTTCTAGCATTTAAAGCAATTCTTAAAAAATCAGCATTACTTACTCCTGGAATCTCAACTGGATACTGAAAAGCAAGAAAAATGCCAGCTCTTGCCCTTTCATCAGGTTCCATTTGAAGAATACTTTTTCCATAGAATAAAATATCTCCACTTAATAATGAATACGCCGGATGACCTGCAATAAGTTTAGACAAAGTGCTCTTGCCTGATCCGTTAGGGCCCATAATAGCATGTATTTCACCGGGTTTAATAGATAAATTGACACCTTTCAATATGGGTATATCGCTAATTGAAGCATGCAAATCTTTAATTTCTAAAATATAATTACTCATCCTACAGTTCCTTCTAATTTTAAACTTAATAAACGATCTGCCTCTACTGCAAATTCCATAGGCAACTCGTTAAATACATCTTTACAGAAACCACTAATCATAAGAGACACAGACTCTTCTAAGCTAATTCCTCTTTGTAAGAAATAAAAAATTTGATCTTCGCTGATTTTCGACGTAGATGCTTCGTGTTCTACTTTTGATGTTGGATTTTGTACTTGAATATACGGAAAAGTATTGGCTTGAGATGAGTGACCTATTAATAAAGAATCACACTGAGAATAATTGCGAGAATTAAATGATTGTGGACCAATTTTTACTAATCCTCTATAACTATTTTTGGATTTACCAGCAGAGATACCTTTAGATATAATTTTACTTTTAGTATTATTTCCAATATGTATCATTTTAGTACCCGTATCAGCTTCTTGGTAGTTATTGGTTAAGGCTACCGAATAAAATTCTCCCTGAGAATTGTCACCTGCTAAAATACAGCCAGGATATTTCCAAGTAATTGCTGATCCAGTTTCTACCTGAGTCCATGAAATTTTAGAATTCTTCCCAGAGCATAAGCCTCTTTTAGTAACAAAATTGTATATGCCACCTTGACCGTCCTTATTTCCTGCATACCAATTTTGTACTGTTGAATACTTAATTTCTGCATCGTCAAGTGCAATTAATTCTACAATTGCTGCATGTAGTTGATTTGTATCGTACTGAGGAGCTGTACAACCTTCTAAATAACTTACTTTACTTCCTCGATCAGCTACAATTAATGTTCTTTCAAACTGCCCAGACTCTTCATTGTTAATACGAAAATATGTTGACAGCTCTAAAGGGCAAATTGTATTCGGTGGAATATAGCAGAAAGATCCATCACTAAATACCGCAGAATTTAATGCTGCAAAATAATTATCACCCGAAGGCACAACAGTACCTAAATATTTTTGAATTAAATCGGGATAGTTTCGTATAGCTTCAGAAATTGAACAGAATATGACCCCAGCTTCTGCCAACTCTTTTTTAAAAGTAGTTGCAATTGAGACGCTATCAAAAACTGCATCAACAGCTACATTGCTAAGTCTTTTTTGCTCATTCAAAGATATACCTAATTTATTAAAGGTGTCTAAAATTTCTGGATCTACTTCATCTAAACTATTTAATTCTTTTTTTAACTTTGGAACGGCATAATAAATTATATTATTAAAATCTATAGTTGGATGCTTTAAATGAGCCCAAGTTGGATTCTTCATTTTAGTCCATTTGTCATAAGCTTTCAGCCTGAAATTCAATAAATATTCAGGTTCATTTTTTTTCTTAGAAATTAACTTCACAACTTCTTGACTTATTCCTCTAGGAAATTGTTCAGATTCTACAGAAGTTGTAAATCCATATTTATATGGCTGATTCACTATATAATCGAGATCAGAAGTCTGCGAAATTGGATTTTGAGTATTGACCATAATGCAACAATTAATTATTTATAAAATATCTTATATTTTTAATATAAGGATAACATAACAACTTTATTATTCTTCGTATTAACAGAGTCAGCAATATAAATTGCTCCTACCAAGATAAAAACAAAATTGTTACATATATCGTACTAATGAACAAGCATATATAGTCATTTGTGCTAAATTGAGATACATATATTTTTAGAAAGTTATCATTTTCTTGATTGAGATTTCTAGCATATAGTGATTGAGATATTTCTGTCGATTCTTTTATTATTTCAGAAAAAAATAACTTAGATATGAGAAAAAATAGTGTAAAGAGTCTTGTTGACTGTTTGCGTAAATTCAAACTACCTCTTAAGCTCATTATTTGTGCAATTTTTTCCATTTTCACTATTATATTGTTAACAATATGTGAAGATAATAAAAACATGAAAAGCAATTCATTATTGAAAATTTGATTGATAATATTGTTTTTATAAATAGTTAGCGCTAAAACTTCCGAGGAAGTTGTCATCATAACTAATTTAATAGAATATATTGTGATGAAAAAATACGATCCTGGTTTTATTGCAAATAATATCTTTTCTGGTATCTGATCATTGAAATGAGTTATTTGTTTAGGTATATATCTTTGGATTGCTTTTTGTGTCCAGCACAATGATATAGATTGATATTTTTCTTTCTTTAAATGGTATTGATAGTTATTTGTAACACTAAGCGAAAAGAGCATGGTCACAATGACCATGACAAAAGTTTGAAAAAAATGTTTTCTTAGTATGTATTGATTACATTTAATTGTACTGCTAGTGATTATTAAGCTGAAAGCAACAATAAGCAACTTGCGATAAGATAAAAGAAAAATTGAAATCCATAATAATAAAAGGACGTATATCTTTACCTCTGCCTTAATTTTGTGCATCCAGGTTCTAGATTGACTTAAATATAATCTATAAGGGATCAATTCAAATTTTGCCATAAATAATTGTATTTTTATTTAATATAACCGTAAAAGTTGACATATCTATTGAAACTTAGTATTATTTTTACGCTAAAGACTAAACTACTTGTAATAGTTGGTCTATAATAGGGTAGATGGCGAAATTGGTATACGCATCACACTCAAAATGTGGCGACTTCGGTCATGAGGGTTCGATTCCCTCTCTACCCAATGTACTCGTTGCTGTTGAGTAAATCAATCTCTTTATAAATATTCATTTTTAATTAATATGACTCTTCTAGTAATTGGAGCAACCGGAACTTTAGGGCGTCAAATTGTACGACGCGCTCTTGACGAAGGCTACAATGTAAAATGCATGGTAAGAAATTTAAGAAAATCAGCTTTTTTAAAAGAATGGGGTGCTGAACTAGTATATGGTGACTTGAAATCTCCCGAAAGTATATTGCAATCTTTTTGCGGTGTAACGGCAGTTATAGATGCTTCAACATCTCGCCCATCGGATCCTTATAATGCTGAAAAAATAGATTTAGATGGAAAAACTGCACTTATTGAAGCGGCAAAAGCAGCAAAAGTCCAAAGATTTATCTTCTTTTCAATATTAAATGCCGATCAACATCCTAAAGTCCCTTTAATGAATTTAAAATCTCAAGTAGTAAATTATCTGCAAAACTCTGGTATAATTTATACTGTATTTTCCTTGGGAGGATTTTTCCAAGGACTAATTAGTCAATATGCAATTCCTATTTTAGATAAAAAATCAGTATGGGTAACAGGAGAATCGACTCCAATTGCATATATTGATACGCAAGATGCCGCAAAATTAGTTATAAAGAGTCTTGGCGTGCCTTCAACAGAAAATAAAATTCTGCCATTAGTTGGTAATAAGGCTTGGACATCTGCTGAAATCATTACATTATGCGAAAAGTTATCTGGCCAAAAGACACAGATTTCGAAAATCCCCCTGAGTTTACTAAAGGCTTTAAGAAAAATTACAAAAACATTACAGTGGACTTGGAATATCTCAGATCGTTTAGCATTTGCAGAAATCCTAACCAGCGGCGAAAAATTTACTGCTTCAATGAATGAAGTCTATGAAATTTTAAGTATCGATAAATCTGAAGTAGTATCTCTTGAAAAATATTTTCAAGAATATTTTGGTAAAATCTTAAAAGTGCTAAAAGATATTACTTATGAGCAAAGTCAACAAGATAATGAAATATCATTTTGACTTATAGATTCATTAAAAGCAGATTCTAAATATATACATGAATAAGTGCACTTTATTAGTTCAAGTTTTACGCTGTAAAAGCGTTAAGACTGTTCACAATGGAAATCAAATTATTAAATTAAAAGCAAGATTCAAAAAGCGAAATAAAGTAGCTGTGATTAATTTGTTAATATGGAATAGGCAATCTCTAAAGAGTTTTAAATTACTTAAAAAGTTTGATTATATAATAATTGAAGGAAAGCTGCATCTAAATAAAAAAAAGAGGAAGCTTATTGTGAATCACCAAAAAGATTTAGTCTTTAGCATATCGCGTATATTTAAATATAAATCATTACTAAAAAATAAAGATGTTGATTTATTTATAAAATAGTACCTTAATTCATATCATGATATAAGATTATGTGGAGATACACATAAATATTACACACTAATAGCTTTTAAGGATAAAAATATGTTTACTTTGAAAATCTTCGTGTACACTACTGTAATTTTCTTTATTTCTTTATTTGTTTTTGGCTTCTTATCTAATGACCCATCCAGAAATCCAAATCGTAAGGACTTAGAGTAGTAATTTATCCAGGTAAAATTTTACTATAATAAAAAAAACAACTAATAGCTACTTAAGCTATTAGTTGTTTTTGTCAATAATCTTAAACTCTAATTTCAGAGCAAAAAGAGACTGCTACACAAACATTAAATCGTTTAATAATACTAGTGCTTAAACGTAAATTATTGGTTGCGAACCAATAAGTTTCATCTATAGTTATAGTACCGTATCTGGTTTTAAAAGTTAATAAACTCTTGTCAGTTATACTACAAAGAGTAACTAATTGTTTTGTATTAAATTTATTGGTAAATCTTAGATGAAACTTACAGTTGTCATTTACAATATTCTGAACAGTCATGTCTTTTGTAATTTGACGAGAAATCTTTCCCCATTTCAATGAAGTTATTAATTGAGAATTTGATGATAATTGATCGGGCTTTATGATCATTCGAGATTGTAGTGAATTCATCTTTTTGTCTGACAATTTGTATGTTGTCCGTTGTGAGATCCACTTGCCTTTGCTGCGATCAAAAAAAGAAATTAATTGTTGCATTTCAATAATGGTTATCGTTGGTGAGAAATATGGAAGTAAATACAAAATTTTCGACCACTATTTATAGTATATTCAATTGATAAAGGTGGTATTTGATTAATTGGTAACTTCAGCTGCATTTTTAATCCGTAAAAAATTTGTTGATATAAAGAACTTACAAACTGCTGATCAATTAAACTAGATTGTAAAATAATATAAGTTTGTGAGTAATTCATTAGAAAGGGCCTTGTATAATTACAAAAAAACGATATCCTACTCTTGCTATTAATAGGTATTTGATATTCTATCCTCATTCGAGCAGAAAAGTTAAATAATGGTTTACAGAATTTACTCTGAAAATAAGAGCTATAGAACATAATAGGAATAGTCTCAATTCTGAAATTTGATTGTAATTTTAAAATTTTTCTTAATATATGATTTATTCTGCTCTGGTAGTAGAATGGTAAACTAAAGTGCGCAATATGCTTAATATCGATTTTATGAATGAATAAATAGTAAAATTGAAAGTCATAGTTGAATAAATTACTTTTTTGAAATGGGGTAAAATACCAGGATTCAATTTCAAGAAGATAACCTTTTGTAGGCCAGTTTAAAGTATCAAAATTTTGATAATGTAATTTTAGCCATAATATAAGGAATTGTCGGCGGAGTATTTCTGATTGTTTGTTGAGCCAATAATCACTACTGGCTATTAATGCTTTGGTAGGACTGATATATTTGACAGTTTGTAAATTTGTGACAAAATATTTGGTCTGAATGTTCTGTGAAAGAAGAAATTCTTCGGATATCGAGAAATATGAAGTGAAATTATATGTTATTAAACCCTCAAAAATGTATTGAGCGATAAATTTATGACTGAAAAATGGTTTATTTTTTGAGAATTTAGATGATCGAAATATACAGGAAGGGGCTGCTTGTCTTATTATTTCTAAAACAACTTGAATTGTGAAATTTTTAGTAATTCTTAATGAAGGATTTAAGTATGCAAGCTTTAGGTTAATTGTATTTCTTAGGGAATGAATACTTAATGTGAAGTATGAGTTGGCCGTGTTAAGATTTCTCAAATATAATTTGAGATAAAAAAGAAATGATATAAGAATTATTATATAGATTTTCCCCGAAAAGAATTAATTCTTTATCTTTTAACTCTTGTATTTGAAATTTTAAATCTAAATGACTTGAATTTTTTTCAGATCTTTCAATGCTATATACAATATTGCCAACTAGTTTATTATCCTTCAAAAAATTTATTTTTCTTTGTAGAGAAGTAATATTAATTGGATAACCGATTTTAATATTAAGTCGTCTTTCTATTACATTTGTGTATGAACTTTTAGAAAACCTTTCGAGAGAAGATGTATAATACTCCGTTCTAATTGTTGCAATTAATCCTTCATGAATATTGACAACAATAGCTGATGGGTCCTCAATATGATGTATTTGTATTAAAGCCCATTGATAACCTTTCTGTAAGTACCATCTCATAATTGATGAGAGAGACAAATTAAGTTGTACAAGACTTTTAGGATAACCTAGTTGATATTTGAATAACTTTAATAAAAAAGATCGAGGTATAATCTTTTCTTTTCGATTATAAATATAGATCTTTTTTAGGATTGAGTTTGGTAACGTAAGCACGTTAGTAACTTTTCCCCCCGATGCTTTTTTAATATTAAGTTGAATTGTAGAAAAATATCCACTCGTTTTTATTTTTTGTAGGTTCTCAATATTGTGAAGATCTCTCTCTGAAGTCTCTGAGAAATTTATGATCTTATGTAAGAATTTTTTGTTGAATACCCCATGCAGAAGAAAATTGGACGCTTTACTGCTTATTTGTTCAGAGCTTATTGGTTTTTTTTTAATGACAGAATGGGAATAAACGCCATTTTTTTCTCGAATATTAAGTTACAATATTTTTCTCTAGTGTTTAACAATTCACTTTTTAAGTAAATATTTAATTTTGAGGTGTACATTATAGTTGTAAAAAATATTACTAATGCATAATTAAAATTTAATTTAATTTTATTATTCATAACTATTATTTTTATATGTAATTCTAGAATTAATATTTATATTGAATATATGATCAATCATCGATCAATAGAAATTTTAGCAGTAATAAAAAATGAAATATTGGAATTTGAAAAGAAATAATCAATCTACTTCTGAAAAAGTTGGACCCATACCGAGATCAATTACTAATACATTTGAAAAATTTCGAAAAGAATTAGATCCTAATGGAGAGTCAGAAGCTATTGAAGAATTTAGATTGTCACGGCACCAGACTATTACATCTGTAAAGTATATTTTATTATTATTAATATCTCCAGTATTAGTTAATCAAGCATCGAAATTTTTTGTATTTGGGCCATGTATTGATTATTTATGGAATCAAGAACAGCCTAAAATATTTATAAATTCTTCTCAAGAAGAAAGAGCTTTTGCTGAGTTACAAAGGTTTGAAGAGAAAATTCATTTTGAGGTTCTTCTAAACCCTTCTGAAAATATTTCTTATGAGATAATTGAAAAAAGAGTCCAATTAAAAGCTAGAGAATTAGGTGAATACTATGCAAATGAGAGCGCAAATGCAGTTAAAAATCTTCTTTCAGATATTTTGTCAATAGCTGTATTTATACTGCTGATGATAACAGGCCAACGCCAAATTTCTATTGTTAAATCTTTTTTAAATGAGATTATTTATGGGTTGAGCGATACTGCTAAGGCTTTTTTAATCATTTTATTTACCGATATGTTTGTAGGCTTTCATTCACCTCATGGATGGGAAGTGATTATTGAAGTAATTTTGCGACATTTAGGACTGCCAGAAAGTAGAGATTTTATCTTTCTTTTTATTTCAACTTTTCCAGTTATTTTAGATACAATATTTAAATATTGGATTTTTCGATATTTAAATCAAGTCTCACCTTCCGCAGTTGCAACTTATCATAATATGAATGAATAAAGATTATCTTATCTAGCAAAGACAGATAAAGATTGATTTTTATATGCTTTATGAGTTATAAACTTTAAGTAATGCATCTGTGGCCGAGGGGCCGAAGGCAGCGGACTCATAATCCGCCATTTCGAAAGAGACGTCGCTGGTTCGAATCCAGCCAGATGCATTTAAAAGATACGAAATTAACTAACTTTTTTAGGCGATAGAAGCATAATTACATTCCTGCCATCCCGTGATGGTGCTTGCTGTATTTCCGCTATTGTTACTAAATCTGCTGCCATCTTGTTTAGTAAGTCAATGGCTAGATTTGAATGCTGTATTTCACGCCCACGGAATGTTATAGTTGCTTTAACTTTATCTCCAGATTGAAGAAACTTCGACGCTTGATTAATTCTTACTTTATAATCATGCTCTTCTATCTTATAACGCATTTTAACTTCTTTTATACTACTATTATGCTGTTTCTTTTTTGCCTCTCTTGCTCTTTTTTCCTGTGTAAATTTATATTTGCCATAGTCTAATATTCGACATACAGGTGGGTCAGATTTATCACTAACTACAACTAAATCTAGCCCTTGTTTTGTAGCTAACTGAATAGCTGCTTCCGGTGCAAAAATTCCTAGTTGTTCACCTTCATCATTAATTACTCGCACTTTTGGAAATTTGATACGGTCGTTGATTTGAGGTAAATCTCGAGAGAGTTTCTTACTATTTTTGTATTTTTCTAGCACAAGTTCCTAACAAATTTTTAAAAATTTAGCATTCTATTTAGAATATCATTAAATACTAAATTAATAGTATAACACTACAGGTTCGATATAGTATCTGATGTTAGTATTTTGTTTACTTTGAATAATTTAACTATATAAAAACTAGTATTTTGTACTTATTTTTCATAGAATATATTGTGTAAATAATATAGTATAAAATCAAATTTTAATGAAACATACTTTATCAGTTTTAGTTCAAGATGAAGCAGGTGTGCTTTCTAGAATATCGGGATTATTTGCTAGGCGAGGCTTTAACATAGCAAGCCTTGCTGTTGGACCAACAGAGCAAATTGGAGTTTCTAGAATTACTATGGTAGTTCAAGGAGATAATAGAACAATTGAACAATTAACTAAACAATTATATAAATTAGTTAATATTCTTGATGTACAAGATGTAACCAATATACCCTCTGTTGAGAGAGAATTAATGTTAATTAAGATTCAAATTAACTCAAAAAACAGAACAGAAGCTTTGGAAATTGTAAAAATTTTCAGAGCCAATGTAGTAGATATTGCTGAAGATTTACTGATTATAGAAGTAACTGGAGATCCTGGAAAAATAGTTGCAATTGAACAGCTGTTGACTAAATTCGGTATTCTTGAGATAGCTAGAACTGGAAAAATATCGCTCGTAAGAACATCAAAAATTAATACAGAATATTTAAAAGATAGAGTTATTGCTTATAATGCCTAGAATTTTATTACATTAGTAATTACTCAAATTCCAACTATTTGGCTTTTCTACAAACGATAAGCATTCCACTAAATCCCAATCAATCTGATTAATATAGCTATTACTTGATATATTGACATGGATTACTGGAAATTCGGGCATAAATGATGGATTTTCATTAATATGAACTTGCTTATGCTTAGATTCTATTAAATAATACGTACTGCATTCCGTAATATGATTACAATTGATACAAATGCACATATATTTTTTATTTTAATACTATACTTGGGGGTGGAGGGACTTGAACCCTCACGATTACTAAAAATCAACAGATTTTAAGTCTGTTGTGTCTACCATTCCACCACACCCCCTGCTCGTAGTACTAGGCGGCACCCAGATTTGAACTGGGGGATGAAGGATTTGCAATCCTCTGCCTTACCACTTGGCTATGCCGCCATACCTACTTTATCAGGATAGTAAATGTTTTTAAGAAAATTTGCAACCAATTGATGAAACTTTTTCTATATAAGTAATTATGCTAACTAAATATTTATTTAATTATTAGGTAATGAAAATAATCTACTTTTTAATATATCTTCTGCTTCAATTGTAACCAAATCTGCCTTTGTTAGTACTTTTTCACCGCTAGCAAAAATTCTATTAGCTTGTCGCATTCTTGCTCTATCAATAGCATTTCTGATACTTCTTGCATTTGCAAAATAAGGTTGCTTCATTCTTCGTTCTGTGTATTCTAAAAGTGTTTTATCTGCTTCCTCCGTAAAACAATATTGTTGTTCTTCTATCATCATTTTTGCTATTTGTAATAATTCTTCTGAAGTATAATCTGGAAAGTCTACATGATTAGCAACTCGCGAAGATAGACCAGGATTGGATTCATAGAATTTTTCCATTCGGTCTTTATATCCAGCAAAAATAACAACTAAATCATTTCTTTGGTTCTCCATTACCTGTAGAAGTATTTCAATAGCTTCTGAACCATAATCTCTTTCATTGTCTGCCTTATATAGATAATAAGCTTCATCAATAAATAGAACTCCTCCCATTGCTTGCTTAAGAACTTCTTTAGTTTTTGGAGCTGTGTGACCAATATACTGACCAACTAAATCATCTCTTGTTACTGTTAATAAATGACCTTTTTTTATATATCCAAGTCGATGTAAAATATCAGCCATTTTCATTGCAACAGTTGTTTTGCCTGTCCCAGGGCTACCAGTGAAAGACATATGTAATCCCGGATTACCGGATACGAGTTCTAGTTTTCTACGCAATCTATCAATTAGTAATAAAGCCGCAATTTCGCGTATTCGAGTTTTTACAGGGACTAATCCTATTAATTCTTGATTCAGTTCATTTAAAACTTCTTGAATTTGTGTTTTATCGTATTCTTCTTGTAAATTTACAAGAGTATCGTTAGAAATTATATTAGTTAATTGCGTCATTTCTGTGTGTGTTTATTTTTATTTAGCTATTCTTTACATGAATATGAACCCTCTTTAAAATCAAAACTAATTTTTTAATTGAGATGTTAAAGAGGGTTAGTAGATTAAGAAGTATTAATTCTTAATAGAAATTAATATCTAGCACCTTCAGGCTTTTCAGTAGCATAGCTATGAAGAGTATATTTCATTGTTCTACCTTCGAAATCTTGACGTTGCAGTAAGAAACCTGGTTCATTAGCAGGTCTATTTACAATGAATGACATACAGCAACTTTCAACACCTCTAGTATTATCAAAAGCGTTAACTTTTACATAGTAGCTAGGTTTTGCTTTTCTGCAAGAATTAATTTCATACATTACAGCAGATGCATCTTTTACATCAAATAATGGTAATCCCCATAATTCCCAGTATGAATTTCTTGGATGAGGATCATCTGTGTATTCAACGTTTGCTGACCAACCTCTAGAAACAATGTAAGCAAGTTGCTTATTGATTTGTTGGTCAGTTAGATCAGGAAGGAAGGAAAAAGTCCCTTGTGTTAGTCTCACTATTCTATGCTCCTTATTTTTATAAGTTAATTCTACTTATACTTCGCTAGTTTAAGCAGTTATAAGTAGTCATTAAATTAGACGTTTGCTGTTGGAGTCTCAACGAAATCAGCTGTATCTGTGGAAGTATAATTAAAACTAATATCCTTCCATAAATCTAAAGCTGTTTGTAGAGGTCCACAAGTTTTTGCAGCATCTCTTAAAATTTGTGGTCCTTCTGCTACATAGTCGCGACCTTCATTTCTTGCCATAACCATGGATTCTAGTGCTACTCTATTTGCAGTTGCACCAGCTTGGATACCATCAGGATGTCCAATGGTACCACCACCAAATTGAAGAACCACGTCATCACCTAGATAATCAAGAAGTTGGTGCATTTGACCAGCATGAATACCACCAGAAGCTACTGGTACAACTTTTCTTAGGGATGCCCAGTTTTGAGCAAAGAATAGACCTTGAGGTAAGTTAATGTCTGTCTCACTTTCAAGTAAAGTATTATAGAATCCTTTAATCATTAAAGGATCACCTTCCAGTTTACCTACAACTGTTCCTGCATGAATATGATCAACACCTGCCATACGCATCCACTTACAGATTACTCGGAAGTTCATACCATGATTTTTTTGACGAGAGTAAGTAGAATTACCTGCTCTATGTAAATGTAAAATCATGTCATTTTTACGAGCCCAGATTGCCATACTTTGGATTGCAGTGTAACCAATTACAAGGTCAATCATACAGATAACACTACCGACAACTTTGGAAAACTCTGCTCTTTCATACATATCTTCCATAGTAGCAGCGGTTACGTTAAGGTAATGACCTTTAAGTTCACCAGCAGCAGCGGATGCTTTGTTAACACCTTCCATGGAATATAGATATCTTTCTCTCCAGCGCATGAATGGTTGAGAGTTAATATTTTCATCATCTTTTAGGAAATCCAATCCACCTTTAAGACCCTCATATACAACTCTTCCATAGTTTTTACCAGAAAGGCCCAGTTTTGGCTTCACTGTAGCACCTAAGAAAGGTCTACCAAATTTATCCATACGCTCACGTTCTACAATTAGTCCAGTTGCTGGACCTTGGAAAGTTTTTAAGTAAGCTACTGGCATACGCATATCTTCAAGACGAAGAGCTTTAACAGCTTTAAATCCGAAAACATTACCAATGATAGAAGCAGTTAAGTTCGCAATAGAACCCTCTTCAAATAAGTCAATATCATAAGCGATATAAGCAAAATATTGGTCTGCAACATTTGGAACTGGATCTACTCTATATGCTTTTGCTCTATATAGATCACAAGCTGTTAGCAAATCAGTCCAAACAACTGTCCATGTCGCTGTTGAAGATTCACCTGCAATTGCAGCAGAAGCTTCAATCGGATCAACACCTGGTTGAGGAGTGATTCTAAATAGAGCTAGAACATCTGTATCTTTAATCACATAATCAGCATCCCAGTAACCCATTTTAGCGTAAGGGATTACTCCAGATTCGTAACGTTCACTTTTAATCCTAGTCCGTGATTCTACGGATTGAGACATGTATTCCTCCTTGATTATAAGGCAGTATCTTTTGCGTTGTTTATACCATTATCATAACTGATTTACAAACAATAAAATATATTGTAATATAACTAAGCTTTTATGGTCACAAGCAAGTATTTTTCGAATAAAAAACTATTCGTAAAGTTCTTGCTTGTGTTCAACCTTAATATAGAAATTATCACTATTAAGATATCACTCGGCCACCACTTTATTTATATGGGTAATAAGTTTTTCTAATGTCTGGCAAGAAAAACTTAGTTGGACACTAGTACTAGTTCACTATAGAAGATTTTTTTGGAAAATTGTGATAAGATTTGCTTAGCAAGGAACATATATTAAAGGTTAAAAAATATGTCAGTATCTCAAGTTACAGATGCCTCTTTTAAACAAGAAGTTATTAATAATGACTTACCTGTACTCGTAGATTTTTGGGCGCCATGGTGTGGTCCTTGTAGAATGGTTTCACCTGTTGTTGATGAAATAGCAGAAGAATACGAGTCATCTATAAAGGTAGTTAAAATAAATACCGATGACAATCCAACTATTGCAGCTGAATATGGTATAAGAAGTATCCCAACTTTAATGATTTTTAAAGCAGGAGAAAGAGTGGATACAGTGATTGGTGCTGTCCCAAAATCTACTTTAGCAAGCACTTTAAATAAATATATTAGCTAATCAAATAAAAACTATGTCAAAGAAATGTCAGCTTACTGGAAAGGTGGCTAATAATGGATATGCGGTTTCACGTTCACATAAAAGAACCAAAAAGCTACAGAATGTTAATTTGCAGTACAAAAAAATTTGGGTAGCAGAACAAAATAAGTGGATTAAAATGCTTATTTCCACTAAAGCAATAAAAACATTAACCAAAAACTTATAATTCGAAAAATATATTAGCGTAAAATGAATAAACGCCATACTATATATTTTATGTTAATATATTATTGAGAAGTTCAATTACTTCAACTTAAGTTCAGAGTGTTTTGGGAGTGATATTTATGCAAGCAAAAAACAATAAGCCAAGCGATGATTTTTATGATTCTGCGGATATGCAAGAGTTAGCAGGAGAAACACCTATTGGTTGGTCCGCAACTTGTCTTGATCAGACGATTTACTACTATTTGGATTGTGATCAAGAATATTCTGAAGATTCAGATAATTCAAATCCTAATTAGTATTTTTATGTATTAGGTGATTAATCTTATCCAAACACAAAAGATATTTGTAATATCTGAAAAATCAGATTGCAACAAATATCTTTTTGTGTTAATCTTTGTTTATGCTAGTATAGCTCAATTGGTAGAGCAACTGATTTGTAATCAGTAGGTTACGGGTTCAAGTCCCCTTACTAGCTTAAGAAAATAAACTTAGACCTGCTGTTTGTAAGACTGGAATATTAGCCAATAGTAAATATGCAAACCCTGATCCGCCTACAGCTCCAACTAAAAAACCCGCTGTGAATTGTCCCCAACCTTCAGCTGTTTGTAATGGGTCTTTAGAATCAGACCTAGTAAATGAGACATTGCCATACATAGACAAACATGTAGTTAAGATAATAATAAGTCCAACAGAAGATAAAAACCCTGCCAGCAAAGCCACATCTGTGCCTCTTAGTGGCCCTAATTTATCAAAGGGTCCAATTAAAAAATAACCATGTGCCATACCTATCTCAAGACCTCTTAGAAGCGGAGATAAGCCTCGACGATAGGCCGGTAAATTACCTAATAATCCCTTACTGAAACTTGATGTACTAACCGGCGTAGATAAATTACCTACAAAAGGATCATCATTATAAGGCTTAATAAATTCTGCCATGATATTCTGTTCTCCAGAAGTGTAATATAATTAATATTATGCTATTGCTTATTTAAATACTATGCTAAAAAATGAAAAAAGTTTTTTCATGTAGACAGCTTAGTACTTAACGTAATATAATACTTTAGTAATAGATTTCCACTATTTTTGTAAACACTATTGTAATAATAATAATAATATCATGTCACTTTTTTTAGGATATATAATATTTCTTGCCGCTTTTTTTGGTTTAGCAACAGGATTATTCTTAGGTTTGAAAGCAATTAAGCTAATTTAAAAAATCATACAATCCTATTAAATTTTTGTCAGTATTTTCATCTTTCAAAAATATACTATTATTTGAGAAAAACAAATTATGAAAAAAGTATTGCCTCTACATGCAGTCAGAAAAGATGTGATTTTAGGCTCGAGGCGTTTTAGTAACTACTGGTGGGCTAGCACAATCTTTATTGGAGCTCTAGGATTCCTTCTGGCCGGATTATCTAGTTATTTTCAGACTAACTTGTTACCTTTTACAAATTTAACAGAGCTAATATTTATTCCTCAAGGTATTATAATGACATTCTACGGCAGTGTCGGACTTTTTCTTAGTGCATTCTTATGGTTAACCATTATTTGGAATATAGGCGCAGGCTATAACGAATTTAATAAAAGTAAAGGTATTATCAAGATTTTTCGACTAGGATTTCCTGGAAAGAATAGACAAATTTGCCTTAAGTTTAATATAAAAGAGATTAAATCTATAAAAATAGATATAAAAGAAGGTTTAAATCCACGTCGCGAAATTTATCTATGCACAAAAGATAAAAGAATTATTCCTCTAACACGAGTTGGTCAGCCATTATTACTTTCAGAAGTAGAAGAGCAAGCTGCCGAAATTGCTCGTTTTCTTGATGTGGTTCTGGAGAGTGCATAATCTATTTTATGCTACATATATAGTATAGTTGTGCTATATTAAATGATATAGCAACTATTTAATAGTGCGGGTATAGTTTAGTGGTAAAACCTTAGCCTTCCAAGCTAATGATGCGGGTTCGATTCCCGCTACCCGCTTAAATTATTAAAAATCTGAATTTATATCTTCATTCAAGTATTTAATGAAGATATTTTACTAAAAAGCTTTGTTTTAATGCTATTTTTATGTTAAAAAATAGCTACTTATTAATGAATGCTTTTTGATTTATTTATTTTAGGAGAATTAATATAATATGTCTAGATACAGAGGACCACGAGTGCGCATTTCTCGTAGACTAGGTGATTTACCAGGACTGAGTAGGAAAGCAATAAAAAGACCGTACCCTCCAGGAGAGCACGGTCAAAAACCAAGAAAACCATCAGAATATGCTGTGCGATTAGAAGAAAAACAGAAACTGCGCTTTAACTATGGACTAAGCGAAAAGCAGCTGTTTAAGTATGTAAAAGCTGCTAAAAAATTACAAGGATCTACTGGTCAAATTTTACTACAGTTATTAGAAATGAGATTAGATAATACTATTTTTCGGCTTGGAATGGCCCCGACAATCCCCGCTGCACGACAATTAGTTAATCATGGTCATATTTGTATTAATGGGAAAGTAGTTTCTATATGTAGTTATCAATGTAAGCCAGGCGAATTAATTTCAGTAAAACCTCAAAAAGGCTCTAAACAACTTGTGGAAAACTACTTAGCATTCCCTGGATTAGCTAATATTCCTAGCCATTTGGAATTGAACAAATCTAATTTATCAGGGAAAATTAATGGAGTTATTGATAGAGAGTGGGTGGCTTTGCAATTAAATGAACTTTTAGTTGTAGAATACTACTCGAGAAAATAACTAAAATATTATTTTATTCACACATCAAGGTGGAAAGTAACCGTCTCATCCAAAGTTTAATAAAAAAGAGTTGAGGCTTAATATTTAATTTTAAATGCTTAGATAAGCTCTTAGAATAAGGTATAGCGATCGACTCTTTTGTGGTAATGTATGCGCTTTTATTAGTGACTACAACAAATTTTGTTAAATCTGCTCTATATAATATTTCCTTGTCTTTTAAAAAGCTTTCTAAATTGTAGACTAATAAAGTCGGTTTTTTGATTCTTTTTAAATAAGGTTCTGTTTTAATAAAATTGGTCCACGATTTATTTGCAGCTTCAAGATTTGTAAAAACAACTTCTCTCTTATCATTTAACCCTGTGAATTTGATTGTACTTATCTTACCATTACGGTGTTTTATATTAATAGGTTGGATCATATAAATTGGCTGACCTTGAAAAAAATCTTTACCATAATACTGATTTTCATGAAAAATTAAGTTTTTTGCTTTCTGATGTTTAAATATTAAGTCACCTACTTCTTTGAAATCTGGAATAAAGCGAAATTGAATATCTCCTGCAAATTTCCTGTTCATTTTGTAAGCAACATGTAATCCAATAGGTTGTATTTTGATTCCCATATGTTTAGAAGCCTCAAAAGACTTGGATTGTAAAAAATTTTTAAATTCGATTGCATCATCTGGGTGGAAAAAAAATAAACCATTAGAAGTTGGACTAGTTGCTACAGGCTGGTGAAATACATTTGAGAAAGAAAAGGCAATCTGTTTTAAAGCTGTTCTTTTTATCCTAGATAAAGGATGCCCTAAGATAACTTCATTAAAGCCGTTTTTTACTACAAAAACTGGAGAACTAGAGAGCTGTTCCATAATAAATTTTGTAGATATACTAGACGTATTAACATAATTATCTCCTCCCATACTAGAATAGAATTGAGGAGATTTAAAACCTTTACTCCAAATATATTTTTGAACTGATATTATTTTATTATCTATATTTTTTAATTCAATTGGTGAATTAGTAACATGGATCTGTTTTGTCAACAAAGCCTTAAAAATTTCTTTATAAAATAAAGAGTGATGATTTTTATCTTTGTGTGTTTTTATCCAGCTATTAGTTACATCGGCAAAAATATTATTATCATGAATAGTAGAAATTACAATTGCCTCTTGAAATGAATTGCGGAAATTAATAGGAATAGAACTGAGCTCTGGTAACGCAAAAGCAAGCACTCTTGTTGACAAACCTGGTTGTGTGTGTGGTAATTTCAAGTGATTTGAATTAACGGAAGAGAAAAATTTCTTTTTGCAATAAAAGTTATTAGAGATTTGAAGCCTTGTAAACTGAATAAAAGTTTGAGAACAGTACATAAGAATTATTACAAACTAAATTAAAATATACTAGCTATTCATGTTAATTCTATTTTAAAATATTAGATACATCTTTATCTGTATATTTTTAGGTAAGAGATTTTTTCGAATAAATCTAGATTAATTAAAGAGTAGCATATATTAATAAAAAATTAACCATTTAAATGCAGAAGTAACATTTATTAACCAGAAAAAGATTTTCCGCAACCACAAGTTTGAGTAGCATTAGGGTTTAGAAACTGAAAACCACCACCTATCAACTCCGAACTATAATCTAACGACAGTCCATAAAGGTATAGTAAACTTTTGGGGTCGCATGCAACCGAAAAATTATCCAATATTAATACTTCATCTGTTTCTCTTAAAGTAGAAATATTTTCAAAATTCATAGAATAAGACATTCCGGAGCAGCCTCCTTGCTTTACACCAATTCTGAGATATACTTCATTATCGCAGTTACTCTTTAATATTTTAATTTGTTTTACGGCTAGCTCTGTAAGTGTTATAAAGTTCATATTTTCTTTTAACCCATTTCCTTTACTTAAAAAGACTAAATTACTAATTTATAAATAATTATAAAGTTGAATCGATGGAGCTGGTGGGACTTGAACCCACGTCCATTGTAAAAATCAAAAAATACTAACCTTAAACTGAATCAATTAAGGTGAAAAACATAAAGATTTATATATTTTTACTTTTCTTATATTAAGAGCAACTCTCACAGAATATTCGTAGTGTATAAGAGTCTAACACTTCGAATTACAAAAATTAATAGTATTTACACAGTAGCTAATTTTCGAGAAAAAGCAATGATGTTATTTTCTGCATTTATTTAATTAAAAGCTCTAATAATGAGCTCGTGTCATTTTCATATCTTTATCTTTTCACAATGTAGAAACCTTACAGCCCCAATACTTAAGTGTATATTAAATTAGATGCTATTATTAGAGATGTCAAGCTTTTTGTTCATTAAACCATCCGGGCATGGTGGGATTCGAACCCACGGCCATCAGAACCGGAATCTGATACTCTATCCACTGAGTTACATGCCCTTATGTAATATATAGTAACATGAACATAATCAATAACCCTTAATCTTGAATATATTGTTGACTCAAAAGAATACCTAATTCTGATTTAACTAATTCGCGAGCCAAGTATGCTACATGCTGATTTGAAAGTAAAATATTTACATGCTGACTATTGAATATTGTATGACACAATGCTTTGGCTGTTTTATCTTTAAAAAATATTGAATAAAGTTGTCCTGTACTATTATAACAAATTTCTTCTACATCAATAAATTGATCAAATATATTAATTGTAATCAGAAAATAACTTCTTGAATCTAAAGATAATTTGTGACTGATTTGATTTAGTATTAAAATATCTTTTAGGTACTGCTTTTGTTTATTATTTAAACGTAAAGATGAATTCAAAAACATATTTCTATACATTGTAACCTCTTTTTTTATTTACATGTTACAAAACTTATTTAGCATTAGATCCTTAATTATATTAAGAAACTACTATACTTATAACAAAAAGAGTATATTTCTTAATTTTTATAAAAAAACAAAGAAAAAACTGCATATACTCTATATATGTAAAACCTATATTGGTTAGATATTCAAAGCCAAAGAATAGATTTTTTCAAAATTTTATAAACACAGGGAATTATAGTATACTAAAAGTAATTTATAATACAGCTCTGATAGCAAAGTAGGAGAATTAATTTATGCAAGATGCTATAACAGCAATATTAAATCGTTATGATCTGACAGGTCGTTATCTTGACAAAGCCGCTGTTACGCAATTAGAATCATTTTTTTCAAGCGGCTTGGATCGAATAAAAATAGCAGAAATTATTAATAATCAGGCTACTAATATCTTAAAAGAAACTTCAGCTCAATTATATGAAGAGCAACCTGAATTATTAAGACCTGGGGGAAATTCTTATACAACTAGAAGATATGCTACCTGTCTTAGAGATATAGAATACTATCTAAGATATGCCAGCTATGCCTTAGTTGCTGGTGATACTAATATTCTGGATCAAAGGGTTTTGAATGGTTTAAAAGATACTTATAATTCATTATCTGTTCCTCTTGCTCCAACAGTAAGAAGTATACAGCTATTGCAAGAAATTATAGAAGAAGAGTTAGAATTACTATCAATCACTAGAAAAGATATTATACAAGAACCTTTTCAGCATCTTATTAATGCTTTAAGTGAGCAAGACCTATAGACTAAACAAAAAAATAAAGATGATTTTGTCATAACGGGTTTAAAAAGGAAAGCTGCATATTAATAATTATTAATATATGAAATCCTTTTAAGACTCCGTTTTCAAAAATTATGATTCAAACAAAACTTTCAAAATTTTTTTCTTACTTTCTAAACAATATCAGTAGTAGACTGTATTATTCTTTAAGTGACTTAGCAAGTGGTTTAATTAGTTTATTGCTTGGGTTTTTTATTTCAACAAGTTTATCAACAATACCTGGGCAAACAGGTGATTGGGGAATTGTTGCAGCAAGTCTTATAGTTGCGGGAACAGAATTAGTCAGCAAGATAGTTTACTCTAACAAAGAAAAGTGTGTCATAAAGATTAATTTAGTAAATAACTTTAAAATTGGTATAACATATGGTTTGTTTGTGGATGCATTTAAGCTTGGTAGCTAATTTTTGTTAGCTATTTGTTTTTTAATATGGATTATGATATATTAGTTATTTTAAATACATGCGGGCGTGGTGGAATTGGTAGACGCGCTAGATTTAGGTTCTAGTGAGATAATCTCGTGAGAGTTCAAGTCTCTCCGCCCGCAGTTATATACCAATCAATAGTTCCAGCGTTGTACTATTAACTTTATAGATCCATCTTTTTGATAGACCTGCTTAGCTCTTTCAAAGCCTTGCTTTTTCGTTTGTTGAATAATTGAATGGTAGGCATACTTTTGAGAAAGTTTATCTAGAAATACTTCTAGAGACCAAGGTTGCTCCCACAATTGTAAATCTGCAACCAAATGGTATTGATTATCATTCCAAACAAATCCAATATGAGATAAATTGCATTGCTTAATTAAGACATCCGCTTTATGTTGAGAATTTTCTCCGACCTTAATATTGGAAGAATTAGTATCCCAAATTAAGCCTAAATCTGTTAAAGCATGCTTTAACAGATTTAAATCTTTTATAGTCGTTTGAATTTTTGTAAAGTGTGACATGAATTTTTAAATAAAGCACAATTATATAAACTTGTAAAATTAAAATAAGCAGCGGTAATACACGCTATCAATATTATATATCTAAACCAATACAAATTATAAAAAACAAATTATAAAAAAGTTAACAACTTATTATATGTTAATTTTTCAATTAAATATATAAATTATCAATTTACTTATCGAGATTAAATTTAATAACTATTTGTATAAAAAGTTCTCTTTTTTTAGGCATGAAGTAATAATAAAATTAACAGACAAAGTATTGTTTGGGAAGCATCTTAGTTAAATCCTAAAAAATTGATAAAAAATTATGACTGCTACTTTACAAAGACGCGAAAGCGCTAGCTTGTGGGAACGTTTCTGCTCTTGGATCACTAGCACTGAAAACCGTTTATATATCGGTTGGTTTGGTGTTCTAATGATTCCAACTCTATTAACTGCCACATCTGTATTCATCATTGCATTCGTAGCTGCACCTCCAGTAGACATTGATGGAATTCGTGAACCAGTTGCTGGTTCCCTTCTATACGGAAACAACATCATTTCTGGTGCTGTTATTCCAAGTTCTGCAGCTATCGGTATTCACTTCTACCCAATTTGGGAAGCTGCTTCTTTAGACGAATGGTTATATAACGGTGGTCCTTACCAACTAGTTGTTCTTCATTTTCTAACTGGCGTAGCTTGCTACATTGGCCGTGAGTGGGAACTAAGCTACCGCCTAGGTATGCGTCCATGGATTTCTGTTGCTTTTACTGCTCCAGTAGCAGCAGCAGCAGCAGTATTCCTAGTATATCCAATTGGCCAAGGTAGTTTCTCTGATGGAATGCCTCTAGGTATCTCTGGAACATTTAACTTTATGCTTGTGTTCCAAGCTGAACATAACATCTTAATGCACCCATTCCACCAACTAGGTGTTGCTGGTGTATTCGGTGGTTCATTGTTCAGTGCTATGCACGGATCCCTAGTTACATCTAGCTTAATTCGTGAAACAAGCGAAAACGAATCTGCTAACTATGGTTACAAATTCGGACAAGAAGAGGAAACTTACAACATCGTTGCAGCTCACGGCTACTTCGGTCGTCTAATCTTCCAATACGCTAGTTTCAACAACTCTCGTTCTCTACATTTCTTCTTAGGTCTATGGCCTGTAGTTGGTATCTGGCTAACAGCTTTATCTGTAAGCACAATGGCATTCAACCTAAATGGTTTCAACTTTAACCAATCTGTTGTTGATAGCCAAGGTCGTGTAATTAATACATGGGCTGATATCATCAACCGTGCTAACCTAGGAATGGAAGTAATGCATGAACGTAATGCTCATAACTTCCCTCTAGATCTAGCTTCTGGTGAGTCCTTACCAGTAGCTCTAACAGCTCCAGCTGTTAATGGTTAATTTTTTATTGACCAATTAGACTAGTTAAAGGCTACAAAAAGCTCTCTCTTTTGTTAGAGAGGGCTTTTTATATTAAGTAGGCTTGATTATTATGATTAGAAAAGTTAAATGGGCGAAAATATAGAAATCAGGATACATCGAAAATATAGAAATCAGGATACATAACTTATAATATTGTTAGTATGTATATTTAAAAAATCACAATACCAAGTACGTGGTATTAGTTGAATATATTGCATAGAATATATTAGTTTATACCTAACTGCCAACGTAACGTTCTGATTAACAGTATTATCACTGTAGATTATATATAGATGACGAGCACGGTAAAAATTAGATAATCTACAAAAATTTGACTGTTTTAAGAAAACTTTGTTAATGATATCAATCTCCGAAAATAGCCAAGATTTTACGGAACTCGAAAGTCTTTTATTTTTATACGAAGAAGGCTTTGTAGAGTCAAGCTGTTCTGATTGTATAAAAAAATGAAAGTAATTTGAGTCATTGCTAACTAATTCATATAAGCTTTTGCCTTTTCTTCTTCTAGTTAACTCAACTAAGCCTAGTTCAGACAACTGCACGATTTGAGGTTTAGCATCATCAAAAGATAGCTCTTTGTTAAAATGTTCTAATAATTGTAACTGATCTCTTTGGGATTCCATGTCAATAAAGTCAATTATAATAACACCTGCGATATTTCTAATTTTTAATTGATAAGCTATTTCTGTTGCCGCAGAGCAATTTGTTTTTAAAACCGTTTCACGTGCACTAGTAGAATTATTAAAAGATCCAGAATTGACATCGATTATAGTAAAAGCTTCCAAGATTTCAATGAACATATATCCACCCAGTATTAGATCAACTTTAGGTATTAAAGCTCTTGAAATAGCTTGATTAATACGAAAGGCATCTAAGACACATTTATTACTACTATAAAGCTTAATTGAAGGAATAGTACTAGAAAAATTACATTGCCAAGTATGCACATAATAATTCAGCTGTTTTAAGCCTAGGTTTGAATCAATTACTATATTTTTTGTATTATTGTTATAAAAATCTCTAATGACTTTTTTCACAATATCTTCATCTTTATAAAGAAGTACGGGTGCACAATTATTAATTGCTGACTTTTGAATAAAAGACCATTGTTCCTTTAGATTTCTGAGTTCACTTAAAATAATTTCTTCATCTATACCTATAGCAGAAGGTCGGAATAATAACCCCATCGTTGCAGGCTTTATTAAGATAGCTAAAGCCGTTAAATAGTGACGCTCATCTTCATCATATATTTTTCTTGATATACAAATAGCTTGACTAAAAGGCATTAAGACAATATATCTGCCAGATAAAGTAATATTGGCAGTTACTCTTGGTCCTTTATTTAAAGTTGGCTCTTTTATAATCTGCACTAATACTTTTTGTCGGATCGTTA